GCGATACGTTGAGAAACCAAATTTTGCGGGCTGTCTAAAGTGCTTTTAACGCGTTAGTTTACTTGTTGTACGATTACATCGCAACCTCGGCGACTCAGGCGCAAAGGATGAAAGGCTCAGGACGCGCTACACCCAGCGTTTCTTTAATTATCGGTGACTATAGAGCACGAATAAATGATTGTATGACATGAAATAACAACTAAGAAGGCACGGCTGGTCAATGATTCCGAAATGTTTTATTCACAAAAAAGGCAATCCCCCCTTCCCCGGAAGTAAAGTATGCTACGAGATAAAACTGTTACATTCAGTTTGCTCAGTATCAAATGCATCAGCGATTATGTACACGTATATCTCTATTTCCTGGACCAAAAATAGCAGGAAACATCATGAAGAAACAACGGAGCGGCTGAAAAGGATGGCAAAAGATGTACCCTCGTTTGGCAATTGTACACATTTGAGATGATGCATACACGTTTACGAGACAACACACAGTCAGACGTCATGACGGAGCAAGACATGTTTCAAAACAAAAGCACCCTTAATGTTCACCATAGTATACTGAAGCTGGTGCGTGAAGTTCTTAAACCTCAGTCTCTACTGTTTTATTGGTTTGGCGTTAAGACTACGTCGATTATTTGGACTATGTTGCTCGCCAGTACAACTAAAACTGATTTTACTCAAATTGATAATTGAGCTTGACATACATATTTCCGATGGAACGCGGAAACTGCTATTTATGCGTTCCTACATTTATAACCAAGTTTTAATGTTCTATATACTTGGATACTTCCTAAAGGTAACCTTGCATCTCTGTTTGCTGTCTGGATGTTTCTACCTTTAAAAAAGAACATGTGCCGCGCAGTACTTATAAATACGGCTGCGTTCCAGAAAAGCCACACTTAATTTTGTTCGTGGAGCAACGACCCTGTCATCTTTGGCACCCAAAGCGGCTTTCAGCGCTTTATGATAATCGACACTTTAAATTGATCGAAATGCTTCCTTCGCGAGATTGTAGTCATGCGTCAATAACAACAGACACGTTTCAGAAAAGAAAACAATAACAGTGACAACGTTATTCATAAAGCAAAACCTACCTGAACTACGCAGTTGAAAGTTGAAAGTTGAAACGAATCAACACTATTTTCAATTGTAAAGCGAGTTGCGTGTACAGTCGTCGTAAACTTAAGAAACTATGAGCGTTTCGAGATCATTATTGCGAAGCAATAATGGGATGTTCAGGGCGAACATCTCATTATCGCTCCGCGACCAATCAGATTACGGTATGAATCGACAATAGCCGCGAAGAGCCAATCACGCAGCAAGAAGGCTGAAGATGATTTACAGAACCCTGTGTTTTTTAAGTTTTCAGTGACCATAGCTCAAAAGTGCTCATCCGTAGAAGCGCGTCTGAGTGACGTCCTTTGCATTTAATTTACTTTCAGAGGAAGTAAACGACATGTGGTTGTTATTTTGGGGCGACTTCAAAATCCTCTGCACCAGAACGATGATGCTAATCAATAAAGTTATAACGTTGTAAAAAAAATTTACATACGCGCATCAGAGATAAAGAAGTACGAATTCCGATGAGGCAAGTAGAACCGGAGCCGTGCTTTGATCTGGACAAACATGGTTTTCAGATTTTTGTTTTGTGTGTGCTTTGGATGGAATTTTAAGGGTAGAACGGGAAATAAAAAGAAAATAGTCATGTTTAGGAGATAATGAAACTCAGTAACCAAAACTACTTAAATAAACGAAAAGTTCGCAATATATATATATATATATGTATATATATATATATTTATGTTTTATATTTATTTTATAGAATATATAACAAAAATAGCACAATAGCCTATAGCGAGATGCCCCGATAGCAAAAAGGGAGTACTAAACAAACTATTTGATGCAACGAAGACGAAATGAAATCAATACTAAGGTACAGTAATATATTCAGTTCCTAATCATAAACAAGGACGAAAAAAAAGTGCAGTTGGAGAGCACAAAATATTAAATTAAAAATATAAGCTTGGCGAACATATTTTTTTTCTTTGCATGGTCAGAAAGAATTTTGGCATCGACTGTTCAGAGAAAGTCTGGTATAATAAAGCGGTCCGCTGCGTAAGAAGGGCTCATTATTAATGCATTGAATAATCTATAGCACGAAATAGATCTTGCGTTTTTACTCTTATTGTCTCTTGGTGCGCTAAAATGCGGCATCAGCTTAGTGGGTCGAATGAAATATTCTTATACAGTTTCAGCTGTACAATCTCGGAAAATATGAGCGTGAACGACACGCCAGCCAGTGTTTTTGGGTATACCTGAGGTTGTAAAGAAGCGCTAAATCAAAAACAAATGTTCAAACACAAAATTCACTTCCAGCTTTTGAATTTTTTCTTCGCTGAAAGAAGAAATAACAAAGCTTGTGAGGGATCTGAACATTTTTAATTCGGCAAAGAAAAATACTTTCGCAGCAAAAGGTGGGTTTGTCTGTCAGAGTTTATGATGCCCAGAGGGTACTACAACAATATCTTGATAAAGGTGTTGTAAGACCAAAATTTCACCATGAAATAATTATCGAGAAGGGTTTTACGACACCTTGGCCGGTCTCTTCTAAATATACTTATAAAAACAATAAAGGATCTTAACAAAACTTTACGATGGCTTTGGAATTCTACTATAGCCATAAAACCCCTTTATCGTTTTTTTTATCATATACGGGTGCTCTATGCAGTTACCCTCTGTGTTGCTTCAGTTATTTTTAATTGGCTGTCATTTTGAACGAAGCACACTCTAAAAAAAAACAAAAAAAAAACGTGCGTCCACTTTTCCGCACAACACTCGAAGAGCCAATCACGGCAACTTACGAAGGCAGCTCAGCGAATGACGATGCCGAAACAGAAGTTTAGACCAAAAAATGCAGTCTGAGTTGTGACATTAAGCAATGCAAAACGTAACGCTTGCATTGCTTAATGTCACAACTCAAACTACGTTTTTTGGTCTAAACATATGTTTCGCCATCGTCATTCGCGAGCTGCCATCGTAAGTTGCCGTGATTGGCTCTCCCAGTGTTGTGCGGGAAAGCGGGTGCATGGGCTTTTTTTAGAGTGCAACTGCTGAAAACAAAACGTGGTTGTTGTGCTGCCACAAATATTCTGCGAAGTTTAACATGATTTAGAAAAGTATTACATTGATGACGCTTGTCGTATCTCGCATTCATGCATGATGAAGCTGTTTTTAACTTTTGTAATTCCTACCCTAGCGGGTTTAATAGTAGTGGATATTTAAACTGAGGATAAAAAAAAACAGAACGCTGAAAAAACGCCTATATTCGCACTTCAGTCCTGAAGTGAGTATTGGATTTAAAATAATGTAGTCAAATTCCAAAATTTAGTCCCTTGAAAATATCTAATGTTTAAAAAAATGTTCGTGAATATTGGGCTAAATAATAAATACTACGCGGTACTCCGGTCGGCTTGATGTTATGCTATTGTTTGTTCTAATTGTTGTAAGTGCAAACTTTAATTATTACCAAAAGCTTCGTGAAAAAATAGGGTAATAGATGCTAATTTACACATTTTGTAAGCAGAAAGCGATTTCATTTCTTAACGAACTATGTTTTTGTAGCTGCGAATTGTCTACTTGATTTTTCACCATGGTTTTAACAAGAAAGTGTTTTTGGGCGCCAAGGAAGCGATAAGACATTAAAAGGACGATGTTTTACTTAAGCCAGAACGTTTGACGCCGTGAGTTCAGGCACTGATATCTCAACCCTCCTACAGGTTTCGAGAATGCAAATGATTGGCCCTTCTGTTAAACAAAATAGAGCCCAGTTGCTATTGCAGCGTTTCTTGTCATTCAGTGTGGTAGCAGTAAAACGTTATCGTTTGTACGACCGTGTAAAAAGACGAATAAAAAAAGTTCTCGCTTCAACAAGGCACAAAATCAGTGTTCTTTGAATGTAAAGAAAACAACAAGGGCTTCAACGCCACCATGAGTTCCGGAAGTAGTTAAACAATGTGCTGCTTTCAAGTTTGTTATGAAAGCTCTAAGGAACCTTGATTTTGAAATACAATGAATTTATGTACCGGCATTTGAGGTGAGCAAATTAGTAGAAGCGCATATATGATTCTACGAAAGTTTTACATTAAACTGCCCCGTAATGCGTGCGAAGTAGCTTTAAAAGCTTTTTTATTGTAAACAGCCACTTGTGTTCTAGAGTTTATCTCGGCTTTGCAGCTCGTCAGAGTATCATTTATATTACCTAAGCAGAATGCGAATAATTAATCACTTTGTCTTTTATAGGGTACAATAGGCTTCTAACAGCGTGTCGTCTTTATCTTTTTTCACCAAAACAAATTGCCGTCAATCTCTTTTTACACCTCAAATTGCCCTTCATTGACTGAATATTAGGGTAGACAAGAGAAAGCGGTCCGCGTGCTATGCACACATTCATATCAAGACGCCTGGAACGCACCCGCCGCGATTGTGCCTTGCAGAACGCTCTGTTACTGTTTTCTTCCAGTTAACCACACACGTTCGTGTTCTTCTCCAGTACATAAGACAATCACGCGTGGTAAATACGGCCTCACCTCGATGGCACATCCTATTAACGACCGCCATCGGTAAGCGAAACTGAAAGAGGCGGATATTTCCCGACAGCCTGCTGCTGCTTCTGCAAGCCGGCAACGAAGCGTTAGCCGAAATAGTGGCCGAATGGGATTGAAAAGCTACTTTTAAGGCCTGTTCATACCTTCACCGTAGCGCTAGTTCAACGTGGAATTAGCACGGACCTTGCTGACTCAGTGCTGACTTCATGCTATATTAGTGATATATCACTGATACAGCACTGATACAGCTCTGAATCAGTGCTCAGTTACGTTCAAGGGAGTGCTACACCAGCGTAGCGTTGATTTAGGGCTGCGATGTTACGTGTAAACCGGCCTTGACCCTTCCACTCGTCATCGGGTGAAGGCGCCACATCGTGCGTCGAGGCGTCCACGTTTTTAGCTGACCCAGGCGTACTGCGTGAGTCCCTCCGAAGTCCAGAACTTGCACTCAGTCTTCTGGTACGAGTTGGCGGGGACGGTGTTCCACGTGACATTGCCGAACGACGACGACGTGAGCCCGCCGCCGGTCAAGATGGCGACGACCTTGGGGTAGCGGAGCCAGTCCGGCACGGGCACGGAACGACCTCCGGACCGCACGAAGGACAGGACGAGTTCCTGGACGGCGTCCCTGAGGGACAGGTCTTCGGCCGAGGGTCCCCCGCTGGCGGCGGGAAGGAAGAGGTCCAGCTGATCGAAAAAGGCCACCAGTTCCCAGGGATGGAAGCTGTATGGAGCTTCGTGGCCGAGGAGCTTCACCTGCGGGGAGGGATCCAGGTGTGACAATGTGTGCGCTCGTTGAACTGGACAGGGTACGCTTACTGATAACCATAATATAATAAGAACCAAGGTTCCATGAAAAGAACGCTGGTGCTGAGATGCCACTAGAGATCTGCTTCTCATCACTGGCTGATTAGCCGCCGCATCTAAAATATTCCACATATAAAAAAAAGGCACGATTAACTAGGCGCATCTTCTCTGGAAAGTTTGGATTCGGCAAAACTTTGCGCATGCCTTTATGAAGCAGCACCTTAAAATGCGGTGGCAAACAATTAAATACATACTGCATTTACTTTTTGGCAACTTCTGTGTGATTTGTTAGTTCATGAAAATAAGTAATGTTTTTAGTAAATCATTAGAAAAGTTCCGCCGTTTTGACAGGACCATGTTAAGTGTCTTCACTGGTCTTTACTCCCAGTTTTTTTTTCTTTTCCCCAGCATGAGTAGCAGTAAGTTCAGCATTATAAGGTTTCCACGCTTATTGCTCTACCGTTTTGTGATCTATGGTGTGCGGCAGCGTTTCTCGGACGTGCCGTCGCTCACATTGAATTGGTTGGTTATTAATGACAGCTCTCGTTGTTTTTCCCCCTATGACTTGCAACCCTGGGTTTATATTTGCTTGATAATTTCCTTTCTTTCCTCAAGTAGACAACCACTACAATATAGTGAGCCTCTATTATGATCCATGGCTGAGTGTATTCAAAACGTAAATATCAGCTAAGGATGTTTTTTGCTTTAAGTTTTATCGCGTATGTACAATGAGCGTGGCGACCGACACATTCGCCCAACATTGCATCATTTTTAGCATAATACATGGGAAGATGTTCGGTCTCCTTCATTTTTATTTCTCATTTTCGAAGCTAACAGCACCACCTTCAAAGGTAGGGTCATCAACTAAACGACAGATGTGCAAGCAACAAAAACAATCTTATACGCATGAGGTGGAACGACATGCGTAGCTTATCATAAGCACAAAGCCACCTAACTTCGCGAGTCTCGTACTCAAAATGAGACGTTGCAGTACTTGGCAAGGAACCTTGCTCGCACCTCACTTATGCAGAAACGCGTCGCCTCTTCGCATATTCCTGCATACATAATATATGTTGACACCCAGCTCAACTCTCTTATTTTCTTTTGTTGTGCCCCTTTCTCCTATTCTGGATTATGTCTTTACTATACTTTTATTAGGCATATTTGCTTTCAGCAGTAGCCGTTTTTAGTACATTTTTTCCGGATTGAGTGAGGCAACGAGTGCTCAAATGTTAAGATAAATTTATTTACGGCTCACAAGCCTCGACACGCATCATTTGGCCTTGCGCGTTGAAAACAAATTTTCTTAAAAAACAAAGAAGGCAGACACAATTTTACACCCGCTTAGCACTGAACTGGGGCACCAAGCTTATAATTTTAAACAAAAGCGATCAATACAAAAAGAGAAAGAAGAAAAGGGTAGAATCAGAAAAAGTCATCTAGCAAGATGGCAGCAAGCGCGATTCCTCAAGATTTCTCGTTCCTGTTTGAAGCTTTCGAGCACCCAGCCCCTCGAAAAATACGCAAACAAGCAAACACAGCTTTTTTTTTTTCGCGAGGGTCGTCTGGCTCAGAAGCTTTAGTTTATTGCGTATGTATTGATGCTGTGCCGACGAGATGGAACATAACACTCCAATTTTAATGTGAAACATTTCGTTTTGTCGCGTTTTCCTTTTTTAATTCTCGAGATGAGTCTCAGCTTTTGCGTTGAATAGTATTCGAATATTTTGTGCCAGCTTTTATGGTTTGTATACTTGCTTGAAAGCGTTAAAATACACTAACAAGAAACAATTTTTAGAAAAGCTTTAGACCTAGCCACATACCGGCGTGTCTGCTAAAATACGCGTTAAGCCATGAAGTATTTACAGAATATTACCTCTAAACATTTATTGTTTTTGAGCATCACTTACCGTTAAAAATATTTGCTTATTAACCACGTTTGTGCACACGACGTGTTTTTTTCCCCAAATAGGTCAAAGCGCATGCGGTTGTTTTTGTTTTGTTCCGCTAGCCTGTTTGTTGCAATGGTTCGCCGATAAAATTAGGCAAGGTCATAAGAGTTTTAGAATATGAAAACATTATACATATTATGTATCCAGCACCGTATATATTGTCCACGGGTTATGTTTATGTAATAAACGCTCTCAGATTCAAACATTTCTATCCTCTAAAGTTTATCAAATACAATGACAATACAATCTATAGATATAAATAAATAAATATATATATAAATAAATATATATATATATATATATATATATATATATATATATATATATATAAGCATAATTTTTTGTTTACCTTTTGACGTGCCTTTTTATGTTATTTATTAAAAAATTCAGCAATGCAAAAAATGAAAGGTCCGATATTTTGTTTTGCTGTTTTGGTTTGTGCACTACCCTCCTAGCTCCGCCTAAAGTTGGTAATATCACACAATAAGGAAACAGATGGTCCGAAAGTTTTATGTTAAATTAAAAAAAAAAGCGTTCTCAAGCTGATAGTAACAAGACTCTTCTACACTCTTTTGGCAAAAAAAAAAAAAAAAGAAAAACCAAAACAACAACTTCAAATTGACCTCACCAGAACGAAAAGTTCTACCCCCGCACATAAAAGTCTGAGCAAGGCTTCTCTACTTATTTCAGATGGTACATCTGTGCAATTCGTAGCTCACCGGTCTGGACGGCCGTACGTCCGTGACGTATCTATAGATGGGACTCTGGAAGCCTGATGCCAGGTCGAATGCCATGCTGGCCGCGGGGCACCCGACCCTCAGGTCAGACACCATGCCGCTGTAAACCATCTCGGGTGTCACACTCGAATCTGAAAATAAGAAAAAAATTAAATGGGAACCCTAACGTTTTCTAATATTATAAAAAAAAAAAAAAACGTTATGTTAATTATACCCAAGCGTTTTAGCTTGACTTTACTGCGCCAAGCAAGGATCAAGCAGAAAGACTCGTTTAGAATCCCTCGACAGATTCGGGCTAAGCTACGAAGATTCGGGTTTTGAAGAAAGGGGAGCGGAGACAACCTACTGCTACAGTTATTGAGTGTTCAAGAAACGCAGGGCCTAGTGATTTCTTTGCTTGCATAATTTTATTATAGCTTCGCAGCCAATGAAGTTGAGACGTTAGAATATATAAGTTTACCAAAGGACGAATAAGAAAGCAAGGAACGTGAACATAAGAAGCCCCATCCTGCGCTTCTTTAATTGTTATTTTTTGAATGTCACTAATTTTAAAACAAATAAAAGAGCCAAAAAAAAAAGAGAAAGAAAGACGGCAGCGTTTTTTTTTTTTTTTTGCTTTTGAATATCCTCCATCTTTTTAGCTGCACTCATTTCTTTGTATCTGTTACGCTGACAGGCTCAATAGTCACGGCCGAACGTACGACCTCCCCAATTAGGCGTTCGTGCATCATTTCCCCACCCCTTTTTTAAGAAAAAAAAATCGAACAGAACTTGGAGGTTTTTCTAATTCCCGTGAAATACTGGACGTACCTGTTGTATTGGTGACATTGTACAACTGCAGCGCCATTTGCGTGATACCGGATCCGAAACTGTCCAGGCTGGTCGTGACATACTTCTTGTACTGGTTCCACGACCAGTGTCTGAGGTCGTCCGGACCGGGCCAGACATCGATGGCTTGGGTAGAAGAGCCTGAGAAACGGGATGAATGAAATGATTAGTGGACATACTGATTCCGTTTAGGTAGTGAGGGAGACGGTAGCTTATTTTAAGACCAGTCTTGTGTGACACCTCCGTTTCAACCCGACATATTTAGTAGAAACCAAGAATCGTTTTGTAACGATGAAAATCGTAATATAAGGTGCGAAGCAAAAACTTGAACATGAGATAGTTTATTACTTGGTGTTTTTTTTTAACACCAATGAGTTTTATAACCCCGATACAATATAGCAAAAATGCTCTTCTTCTTCTAAACTTAAAGAAACTTGATCTAGCCTATCCCTGTAGCTCCGCTTTCGCGGGAAATTTTGAAAAAAAAAAAAAAAAAAAAAAAAACTTATTTCGAAAAGTACCTACGCACAACCCATAAGTGCCTAAAACGAAGTTGCGTTTTCAATATACGACTAATGTCACCCAAAAAAAGAATATACCTCAGTTATTTCATAACACCGACGGGCATGCTTGACTGCGCACGCTTTGGCCATTGTGCCTTCCTAATGACGCACGTTCACTTCTCGAATGACAAAGCGCGCGATCAAATTTCCTCAATCTCAGATGTCCAATTTGTTCTCCTAAATACTCCCGTGTAAGCCTTTAATGATGTAACATTCGCCCAGCGCTGATAAAATAATTAGTGGCCCCTTAAGCTAGCGAAAATGTGGCCATTTTTAAAACCAAAATCGCGACGCTTTGTTTCCGAATTTAGAGGAAGCGCTTTTAATACATGTTTTTTTAGTACATTAATTAACACGATACATTTTGTGGAAAGCAATCAAGTCTTCCAAGCCTCAGGTAATTGCCTGCGGCGTGTCAGATACTGGTAGTGATGAAGTAAGCGTAAAAAAAATACAGAGAAGAGGGCAAAGCGGACACAGCTATTTTTTGCCTGGTTTTAATACAATATCTATCATGTTACAAATTTTTGCATTTTTAATTGTTAGAAGGAAACAGAAAAACTTGAACGTTGTGAACGTCACTTAATTTTTGTAGACTTGTCATCAATTCATGCCGGTCACAGTTCGTTCAGTTATAAAATTGGATAGCCTTGCCTTCTGCTCCTGAGCTCCTCTTATGTTTGCGTGCAATGCATGCGTGTTAGAACGCATAGAATTGGGTCCCTTGAGGATGAAACATCGACACCTATGCCTTCAGAAGCCGTTTAAAAGGGTACACAACTAAAAAAGACAATAGGGTAGAAAATCCAAATATCCCGCCCCGAGTGGTTTGACTGAGTACCAAAACTACGGATAAAAACAACAACACGAGTTATTTGTTCGTGTTTGTGACGCAGCCGTCGGCTGATGTGAACGAAGGCAGCGTAAGCCTCCTGCTGTGGCTCGTGTTCAATCAGCGAAGCACCAAATTACAACGATTCCCGCCCAAACACTGACACGGCGTCCCTGCCTAATTTGTACCCGGCACGCGATCGAAAAAAAAAAAATATTGTAAAACAGTTAGCTGACAGGATTTGAGTTGGTAAATCACTGAGCTCCGTGAAAAATCAAGCTGGACAAAACAACCCCCTGTAGTCCAACCGCCTCGCCGAAAGTCCGTATAGACTTGAGATGTACTGCAGAAAAAATTACGAGCCGGAGCTCCTCGGTTGAGGGCGCACCCCGACTGTTCAAATGCTTGTGCTGAAGAGGCAAATGCTAAAAACTATGAGGTGGGACTTGTAGGTTTTTATGAGGTACGTTGTGTCACACTAGCTGTTAACGCAAATCAACAATGGCTTTTTTGTCTTTTTTTTTTATAAAAGAAGGGGCTCTTTACACAATTACTATTGTTGGTGACAGGTTAAAAAAGCGGACAAGCTCCTTTAAAGATCTTTTCACTTTTTCTACATTAGCAGAGGGAACCCTGGAGGGAAGGCGAGGAGGGACTTAATTCCTCACCACCGTTCGTTTTGTTAAACTAAAAAGAGGAAAAGGCATTGTCGGAAGAATTTTCCCTGCACCCTTATCCTGTCACAGAGTTTAGTGTGGTGAGCTGTGCATATGTCCTGTACTAGCGTAAGCGGTGCGATCTGCACCCCTCCCCCTCCCCATCTCCCTTTCAAATATATTAAGAGAAAAAACAGCAATGACATGTTTATACTACCGGTGTCCAACAGTGTATATCTTAAAAAATACCGAACTAAAAGCATATTTTTGTTAGTTGAGTGGTTAAACTAAAGTCCCTGGTTCCTGGGAAAGTAGTGTCATTGCCTTCCTTGCTTGTTAGCCGGACACCAACAGATACGAACATACAAACAACCAAACCACGCAAGGTGATTGGCTCATCGGTCTCAGTTGCTATGGCAATTCTTCATTTCGGTTCATTCAAATCTAGGAAGCTTCAAATGGGTCGTTCTGAACCCGGCGCGCCAAGGTGGCTATAAAGCGTCATTGTACGGAAAGCGTTTATCGTCAATATAAGCGTATTTGGCACGGTGCGTGCAATACACTTACCAGTCATGTTTATATGCACAGATCTCTTAGAACGGTACTGTTGTGCTCGCGTATTTAAAGACGCGAAAATTATTTTTCAATGTCGTCAAGCACCGACCAAGAATCTGGTGGGGGTGTGAAGATGTGTGCGTGTTTATCCTGTGTGCGGGTAACAAACTCTCGGTATAGAAGAAATGTCTTTATAAAGCAACTTGTCACCGGGAATTGGAATCGGCGCAGTAAGAAGGAAGTGATCATGAAGAAACTGCACATTTCATATAACAAAACGGTGAACACACCGGAAGCCTAGTGCTACTTTGTGAGGATCTAGTGGCTTGAAATAAACCAAATATGCCACAGATGAGATGTTCACCGATAAAAAAAGAAATTCCTAATATTATACCTGTGCCACACGGGCAACTCGAATGCCATTTACAACGAATGACATTTGAGCGGACGGCCAATCAGCGCGCGACACTCCGGGCATGGCGCATTCCACGCGCGACAGATTGCAAGCTGATTCGCCGATCACACAAATGTCATTCGTTGTAAATAGCATTAGAGTTGCCCGTGTGACACGGGTTTTAAATTAGAGCAATATTTTTGTTGCGAGATATGTTTTGAGTTAGGAGCAATTTCGAATATCTGGCACGTCGACCCGGAATAAATGAATGTTTTCTAATCACTCCTTAAAAACACTGAACTAAAAAAAAATAATTATACCACCTGGATCGCAATTATATGCCACAATAGGAACTAGGAGTCGTTTTAAGGAAGTGACCAAAAGTCATAAAAGCAAGCTAATTTCTAACAAATCAATGAACAGGTTTGCAAAGTATAAAAAAGAGTAGATTTACTTTTTTGGGGGGAACAATGCAACTTAGTTTTTGAAGCAGATCTTTACACGTTCAGCAACACTAAACCAGCGCTACCGAGAAAACTTGGACCGTAATAAAAAAAAATGCAGCAAATAAAAAAATTGAAACGTAATAAATAAGCGCGTCAAAACTTGATGTGATTTGCTTCGTCCTCGAAACTTTCTCCCCTTCGTTGAGCATCCAATCGCATTAGTTGAAAACGTGTCGGGATCGGGGCATGAGGACTTTTTGAACTCAATTTTATTTATGGTGTTTCCGTCTGACTGGGAATTTTACAAGCTTATGGCCCCCAGGTAAGGTGCACCTGACGTGAAGGTCACGCGAGCAAACCCGAAAAAAACCTACAACTGCACTCGTCGCAACACTTTCAGAGTTTCGCGAGATTTCAGTTGAGTGTGCATTACCACCAAAGCTCTTTGATGACGAAGCAGTTGTAAACGGCTTTTAATATATTCTAGCTCAGAAAATGTAAATGTTAAACGTCACGAAAGGGTGCCTGCGGGGTATACGTATGCGATTGTAAGTATGGTGCCCCGACTGGCGCTCCATGAGTGCAAGCAAGTGCAGCTCATGAACATAGTCAGGGGGGAGGGGGGGTACGGGCTCCCCCCCCCCCCCCCCCCCCCCCCGGGCCTAGCTACGTGTCTGGTGCAGCTTGCGCGTGAACATAGCTTTGGCAAGCTTTAAATTGCACGGGGTGTCTCTGCACGAGCACAGCCATGGCGGCGGCCAATGGCCTTGCTCGCAATCGTCTGCGGGGTGGAGTGATTTCTCCTATGAATCTAAATACGAGTCGGTGTTTCGCAACCCTTGGCACCAACCAGACGGACCAAGTGGGTCCTGAGGAGCGCGCTTCCCAGCATGATGAGAGCTTTTGAGAAGAAGCCATCGCGACGTTTTGCAGAGGAGTTCAGCTCTGCGCGTCTAAAGGATTTCTGATACTATACGGTAGGCTCTTACAAAGATAGCTACTGGGAACTTTCGACCATCGTAATATTGTGATGCAGTTGGTTTAAACCCTTTTGTTTTAGATAATTTAGATTGCCGCTGCTATTGCTTATATAAAATAACGACTTCTATAAAAAAACGGTCACTGATCTCGGAATGTCACGAGTATAGTGCACCGAAAATTTCACGAGCTAGACTCGACCCGTGTGTCTTTGGGCTCAGGTCCACACACTAGTGAGCATACTTCTGAAGAAACATGCCCGAGCAACCACCTTCATACCAAAGAGCCTCCCAGTCAAAAAATTTCAGTTACGTTTTTGCACCCTATTCGTGCGTCATGTATTGATGTGCGTAATGCGCATGTATCAAGTATTGTCCTTGAGAAAGTAGCTCACGTGACTTTGACTTCTAAGCGGAGTAAAAACTCACTCTACAGACCACATATATACGTGCTTCAATTACCACCTCTTTCTATATGAATAGGCATGGACATTATTGAATAGCGATGTGTAGTCTCCACATCACTATTCTGCGATAAACATTGAACATTTATTTCGGAAGTTGTATTGCGCTGGTTATAAATCTCCTCTATAGCGTCCGTCAGTGACACCATTTATATAAATAAGAACTTTCCGTCGCTCGATAAACATGCAGAACATTAAACTTAATTTTAGTTTTACTCATCATGGACTTCTACTTTTCGGTAGATGATGAGGCAATTCGAAAGTGTCACTTGTCACTACACTTTCCTAAAATCTAGAAAAGAAGATTACAACAAAGTGCTTACCAATGAGAACTGGAATGTCTGATTTGGAATCCGCTTCAACCATCTCTACTGGAGGCTTGGTGAGCAGGGTGCCTGTGAAAGCCAAAAGCTTAATATCATCACACGATGAAACCACATGTTTGTCACTGAGAAAATATTTCATAAAAACGTTCGCGCTTAGGAGCAATATGTTAAAGTATAAATAACGTTCCTGATGGCTATATAATATTTTGAAGACTTTCGCGTCTACAAAATATATCTGTATGATTTTATAACACAAAGTCACATTAATTTATATAAAACAATATATTTTGGTCAATTAAATATATGTGAAGGGAAATACATTAGTTCGTGAGCTTAATTTAAATAAACAATTTTTTTGTGCATAAAAAGACTGCGTACAAAAAGGATGTAAATCGAACATTCTTTAAGCTGCTGCTTCTTGAAATAAAAAAGAAGAAAAAAATAAGAAAACGTATAAGGTTTGCAGTTTTAGTTTTTCCGGCAAAGCCCCGAGATTCCTCAGAAAACTCTTTTAGACCAATTATAAAGACATCATATTTATAATACGCGTTTTGTTTTTTTGTTTCCTCCAAAAATCGAGTGAGAAAAATACCGCTGAAATTAAGTTCGCGGTGTTTAGAAACCACCCAATGCTATAGCAAGCCCCTCTCGCAAAATCAACGCAGTCACCGTAACGCTCCCGGCTTAGAAGGACGGGTGGGGGAGCGACTGTGAAGGGACCGTGACAGTTTAATTAGCGATTTTCTGGCGGCCGCGGAAAGCAGCCACAAAAACAAAAAATAGCAACAACAAAGGCAGGTTTCCGAGACGGCATTGTCTGGCAAAATGGCTCGTTCCTTAGGAGCAATTATTCCACCGAGACGCAGGTCCGCGATGCCCCGATTTAAAGTCTACGCGCTGAGGGACGCGTGAGACCGTGTGACGGCCCTCCTTGCGTCGACCGAGGCGCACGGATACGCAAACATAAATATATTCGCTCGGTGGGCCGCTGTCGCAAAGCCTGCCGCGTTGGCTGTTCCGAATGTGCTCCCACCTGCCTAAATAACGTGCCGGATGAACAGCTCCTCGTAATCTGTTTGACCATAAACACTACCGAAAATAGCTTCACCAATAAAATGAGGCCACAAGAACGTCATCTTATGTAAAACAAATGTGACTTTTTATTTTTAGGCGCGATAAAATGACACGCGTTTGGAGGTTTAGAAAAAAAAACAAAAACAATTGGCGTAATAAAAATACATAAAACTAGAGAATCAAAAAAAAAAAAAAAGAAGACGCCTCGAGAATTCGATAACGAACCTGGTCATTGTAGATGCCTTCCTAATTTTTGTTTTTGTTTCTCGTGATCCGTTTATAGATATCATTTGTTTTACATTAAATCCGAGCGCAGTGGACACTGTGATTTCATAGAGCCAACCAAGCATCTCCGAAAAGTGTATAGTTACGAATGTCATCGTTTTTGGACGCTTGCTATCACGAGCTAGACCAATCACGCAAAAAAACGAAACAAAAAAACTCAAGATTATGGGACATTCACACTGTGTGATCGGTTTAGCCTGAAATGACAAATTCACGAAGAAAACCATCTTCATGGCTATGCGTTTTTGGCACTGCTTGAATGGTTCCATGGGATTCTGGCGCCGATTGCAGTCGAACATGGTGTGAAACAGAATATGGTTTCAAAGCGTAGCTTCGTTTAAAGGGCAACTCCGGCCAAAACTCAAAATGAAATAAATTACTGGTATCGCTGTGGTGACACAAAATACGACTCCGGCCAAAATATTACGTCCGTGGGACGCCGCATTCTCAACTAATGCCGATAACAAAAATGCGACCCGCCGCGAGCCGCTGCTCCTTAGCGGGCGGCCAGCGGGTTGCCGATCGCTAAAGCAACATTGGGCCGTGACGTTCGTATCGTTCTCTTTTTTTTCCTCTGGTGCGGGCGTTGCGCGGAGTGCGCTTCTTTGAGCCGCTACCACCGCTACTTCGGCTGGAGATTGGCGTGTTTAGCCGTTGCTTTTATCTCTAGCCCGTGTAGCTTCGGTATAGCCTTTTGTTTATTTGCTTGTGAGGACTTTAAGACTCGTTTTAGCGAGCAACTCGATGCGCCCAAGACTGCCCAGCTGTTCTTTAAAAGATTCTGAGTGCAACTTGTAGCGCTGTGGGCTGCTCAAACAACCCTCTGCGCAACACGGAGGTGCTTTTTCACAAGTGTCCGACGGACCGGAAATTGAAGAAGGTGTGGGTGAACACTGTTCGACGAGTGGACTTTGGACTTCGGCTTTTACGCACCCGAGGAAAAAAGAACGAAAAGCAGTCGTGTTCAGCCCAGCACACGTGTGTTCGGGCGCCGCGGCCCGCGCCGGAGCCTAAACCCTTCGTGTCTGGGACCGACCCGCAGCGCGAAAGCGAGGGCCCCCAGTACTGTACGTCACTGGCAGCGCGGCGTAAAGCAACGCCGTTCCATCCACGGAGCCCAGATGACAATTTAGGCCTAGCGACGAGTAGGGAAGACCACACACAAGGCGACAGCCGCCGAGTATGGCACCGAACGAGTTCACTTGTTTTCCAGTCGCTAGCTTTTGGGTATACAAGCGACGATTACGGCATAGCGCACGCACGGCGCGGTGGCCGCCGAGTACGGCACCGTACGAGTTCACGGGTTTCCTAGTCGCTAGATTTTGGTTATACGCACTAACTTTTGCTACATATAGTCGATAACTACCACGTATACAGAATTAAAACAAAATCAGCTTACCTCCTATCTTTAGGCGGCTAGCGCAACAGAGGTAGGTGGCGCTTGACCTGCGTACTCGTTGAACAAGGACGATCGTGACGTCACGTTCACATAGCGGCTGATTTCCAGTGTTGCTGGAGCCTCGAGCGGCTAGTTTCAGTTTTGTTGGCCGCGCCCCAAACAAAACTTTCAGGCGTCGATATCTTTAAAACTACGCACAATAACGAGAAAAAAATGACACCTTGCAATTCAGGGACGCTGACTGCACTAAAAACAGTCATAATCCCAAAATCGAAAGTATGGACCGGAGTTGCCCTTTAAAGAAGGTTAGATTTGAACCCGTGCCAACCCTCTCGAATAAAGTCCCGACTAGTTTCTGGATGCACAAACTTGTCAACGTTGGGAAACCTGGCGTTATCTAGCTTAACGCACATGGCAGTCAACTGTCTGCTGCATCCGAATGCGACAACAGCTAATGGTGTATTCGCGCGACGGAGTTTTTCTCGCGGAGCAGCCTTGGGAGCGGACATACGTCATCGAGTTCGGAGGTCACGTAAATTGAATTACTCTTTGCCCCCCCCCTCCCCTCGTGGATAACCGCGGAGGGTCTGTCGGCGCCCTGGTTTTTCAAGTTTTCGCCACGGAGATACATCTCTCGTGCGAATACACTACTATAGACTCACAGAAACAGAACCGTTTCTCACCGTCGACTACGAGAAACTGCTCGGGGAAGATTCCCTGAATGGGGAGGTCGTTTTGATCCCTTATTCTGAAGGACGGGTCGTCTTTTCCTAGGTGCGCCTTGATGACGTCGTGGGCGTCCAGCGCCCTCAAGCAGGCAGCGTCCGTGCACCCTGATCGCTGCAGAAAAAAGGCCTTGTTGTGCTTTGCGACCTGAAAAAAAGCGGAAAGGGTTTCAAGAGTCAGAGGGCTAATCGGTTAGCTTTCTTCGCCATCGGAGGCGATACGGTTTCAGTCGTGGTTTATACCTCACGTACCAGCTGTGACGTCTGACATAAGGAGATGAACATATAAGGCTGCAGGTGAATCTGACGGATGTATGATACATTCAAAGAACGAAAAACTTAAAAATATATTAATTAAAAAAATACCTAACATAAGTCCTGAAGGAAACAAAAACGTTTTTTTATACAGGGTGTTTTAGCGAAGGCTCAAAATTTGTGCCAATAAAATGGTTAAGAAACTTTTTTTTTTTTTTTTTGGGGGGGGGGGGGGGGGGGTGTTAACCACAACGGACGTTAGGGGTTGTAAAAGAAATCATACGGATTATACAAAAATTGATCTAAAAGTTACTGATTATCTGTTTAGTTTGTGAAAATAAACAAATGGATGCAATTGGAAACTTGCTGAGTGTCATTGATAACCACAAAATCAGTCGATTTCAGGAAGGCTTCAAGCACGTGCTAAGCATAGGGGTGAGCTAAAGTCACCACTTCACTCATGAAGCAGGCACAAGACGGGCAACGTGAAAACGTGTATGATACATTCATAGCTTAGTTGTCAAGGGCGGGCAATTGGAAACAAACTTTGACAACAATAGACCTGACTCGTAATGATTATATATCGTTAACCTATATTTAGAATTCTCCCTACAACAGTTTTTTTTTAACGCGTGGAATGCATTCTTTTACATTTTCCTCTGCGTTTTCCTTTTCTTTCGCAAATCTTTATACAGTTGGAGACAAAGTTTTGTAAGTTTGACCGGCGACCCTACCTGGGCGTATGTGCGGTTGAGGACGGACGCCGGTCCCACGAGCCAAGCCGATCTGAATAGAGGACCCCAGTCAGCTCTGGGTGCGGCGGCGAGGAGGGACAAGGCGACGGCAGCCCCGGCATCAGCTCCAAACACCGTAACCTGCATGACAAAAACACACACACTCATATATATATATATATATATATATATATATATATATATATATGTATATATTGACAATATGCAGATGAATGCACAGTATATCGAATGAATCAAAAGTTTTTTTTTACGAAATCACCAAAAGTCAAAATATATGTCGCGCTAATTAATGTGCGGTGAAAATGTTTCATACCTTATTTGGATCTCCACCCAAAGGTCGAATGTTGTCCCGGACCCAGGCGAGTGCGAGCGCCGCGTCCCAAAGACCATGGTTGGTTTCCGGGCCCAGGGCTCCGAGGGCCAGGAATCCGAGCGGGCCCAGACGGTAGTTGAAGCTCACCAGGACCAGGTTAAGCTTGCGGGCGAGGCGGCCCGAGGGACTCAGTCCGGGGGTGTGACCGGAGCCCAGTTGTAGGAACCCGCCGTGGATCCAGACCATCACTTCGAGACCAGCCTGAAAGACAACGCGCCGAATGTTCGCGTGTATCGTATCCTAACTGGGGACACACAGTGCATTTGCTACGTGATCTTTGTACGTTACATAACTTTCAAATTAACTTCTTTTTATTTATGTTGTTTTATATTATTTTCATTTACTTTTTTTATGAAAAAAAAGGGGGCGGGGCGAGGGGAAAGGGGGGGGGGCTGAGAGGGAATAATAAATAAGACAGGCGTTGGGTATAAATTTAAAGAAAAAATATATATATCCGTGATATCATTTATGCATCGCCGTTCAATTATTTAAATTGAAAGAACGTAATTTTCATCCATCACGGTATATATTTTTGAGACTGTTCAGGTTTAAATATAAACAACGGTGACCACGCGGTAACACCTTCGTGAATAATTAAAATCAGCGGAATCAAAATGTCGATTCAATCGGTCTACTAGACCGATTAAATCGAAATAAAACAGCGCGTATATTTCATTCAGTAGAAGAAAAAAAAGTGGGCAGTAATATGTCGTCCTTTCGATTATTAAAAAAAAGATTCGAAATAAAAACTCGAGCGGCCTGTAACGAAGCTACGCCACTACGTATAACCCGATGCTGCCGTTAAAGAACACAGATAGACGGGGTATTCGTTACTGGCCAGGTAATACAAAACTTTTATTTAAGAATTAATGGAGTAGTGCGCTGTATAAAACTCCGAGGGCTGGAAGAGTTTTCTAAAAATCTCCTAACGCGTCAAATGATTAGTTCAACAACCGCGCTTCAATAGAGCATAGCGATCTTCATCTATTAAACACGATAAGAAACATTCGCACAGTTTACAAATCAGCGGATCGTGAATGACAACTGCGCATGCTCCCTGACTAGCTGTACTCTCCGCCCTCACTCGTGCTGCGCGTTCCACGACAGCACGATCGTCTCTAATCCCACGAAGCCACAAACGTTCCAAACGCAGACCCCCCCTTCTGAACCAGACACACGGACGTCCAAAAATGCCACCGCGTCCGAGAGAGAAACGCGTAACGCGCAAACATTAGCGTGGCTTCAACGTGCAACCTCCCCTAACGAGCAGACATCTCCGTATTCGGAAAGTCAAGAACGCCAGAATAAGGCGCCTCGATTAGCGAGTATATCCAACCGCTCGATGACCGAGGTCACGTGTGCAATACAAACTGAATGGAGGAAGCGAACACGTCGATCGATTGCAAGCATCTCGAGGCTGCTCGACTCAACGTCTTTGTCCGTTACCCTTTTCGCCACGAGCCATTTCACACGTGCGCACGAGCGACCGATTTGCGACGCGAGGTATACGCCAATGAATAGAAAACGCTCTCCTCCATGGTTTCAGTTGCTCCCTCTGTCAAATCTAGGCTCTCTGCGTCGGGACGCTGTCCCGCAAAACACACCCACATTACCGAGGCCGTCGTTGCGCGGCGGCGACCGTCGTACTTAATGCGTGTCCGACGCCGTATCCCTTAATCACGCACGCCACCAGAACACTCCCCCCCCCTCTCCCTTCCTCCCAGGGGCCCCTCTCCTCAAAATCCAGAAAACGCAGTGACGGCAGAGACGTCTACGCAACAAAACGCGCTCAACGAGCCTCCTAGTTTTCTCCGGCATCACGACGCGTGCGTCCCCCGTCTTCCGCGCAATGCATGCTCCGGCGCTTCCGAGAATGCCCCTAGGGAATTCACGGCAGCCGGCGCGCGAGCAGAGTCATATAACAATGGTTCGTCCATCTTCTTTATACTTCGTCCTCCTCCGTCCCCATTTCCCTCTATCCTTCCCTTCCTCTCCCTTTATTTCCTATCCCCGCGTCATCCGCGGCACTACGGCTCAACTTAGGTGGTGGCTCTTTTCTTCCAGCGCTTCTACGATGTACACCGTTTCACGTAAAGTCTGTGCACAACCGATGCTACGATCCGATCTGGAGCCAATCAAGGAGTGCCAAAAAGTGCACCGTCATGGCGCTTGTCTTTGTGCGTTTGATATCCCCGGCTAAACCAATCACGCCACATGACCTTGCGGTATTTTTGTTCATGATTGGTTTAGCAGGTCATAGAAAACGCGCCCTTTTTGAACGTCGCGTCTCCCTCCGACAACGAAATATCGTGTGAACTACTTCGCACGACGTGTGAACAATGCGCAAAACTTACTTCTTTCTTTTTTTAGGTCTCTGAAATTTGATTATTTGTGCGCATGCGCAAAATTTTGAAAACGAGCCGACTCTACCTAGTGGAGTAAAAGCGCAATTTTTTTTGGGTGTATCGTTGCATTCATTTTTACATTAATAAAGTAGCCGAAGTATTAAAAGAGCTTTTATATTGCGTAAATATTGGTGAATATTATATAAATATAGGAAATAGGTTACTTCATTAGGTATTTGTTTTCCACAATTTTGAATTTCTGTGCACAAGTGGGCCGGCACTATCATATAAGTGGTGCTTTGTAAACCTTTGACGAAAAACTCGAAGATTTGCCGAACCAGCCGAACCTCTGGGTTGGACGAAAATTCGCGGCACCCCTATCTCTGACTGTTCTATATTCTTCGTTTGTGTGTTGTTCTTCGGCAGTCACCGCTAAGCCGAAAAGAACCGCTCTCGGCAAGACACAATGTTTCTTGGCGCGCCAAAGGCGAAATTACCAGCGTTGCAGAAAGCGATTCTGCCCCTTTCACGACACACACACACACCGATCGACCGACTTTCATTGTGTCAGCTCTGGCTCGGCCAACGCGGTTAAATGACAAAAGCTCGAGTCGTTCGCGACGCCACGGTGTGTGTCTGTCGAGGTTTGGTTGATTGCTCCGTTCTCCCTTCCGGAGTTTGCAGTGTCGAGAAGAAAGTTCAGTGTCACGACGGCTAATCTCTTGGTTATTTATCTTATATCGTGTGGTATGATTAGCGGTAAGCTCTTGGCAGAGTCGCCTGCTTTATTATATGTTCATACCTTCAAAAAAGAAAAGAAATGTTCAGTAAATTGACCTCTTGTTAAGAGACACAAAACACCCAAAGAAGTTTTAACGCAGATAGTGTTTTATGCGACGAATTTTATGAAGAAACCGTAATGAACTATCGTCACGAAGAACAGTCATAAAAGAATACACCGCCCCCAAAGTCGGACACGCTGGACCGATTTTGAGGGCGGTGTAATTTTCCCTAATTAATCTCGTTTTCAAAATGCCATAGCCCCCACAAATACGCCACGTCATAGCTCGAAAAATATACTTTCTTGAAGTGTAACAACTTATTTAGTTTATATGAACAGGGGACTGCAATCTGATGCCAGTTAAACATAATAGTTAAAGCGTTAGTTAACTTATTTCTGTTAATTGAACAACAAATTGTTTAATTGTAGTCGCGCCGTGGCGTCTGCCACGGTCGATAACGTTATTCTGCAGAAATAACTTCTTTATTTCTCGTGTCCTTTATGTTTTAACAATTTCCGGTCTTAGAAAAAAAAAAAAACACCCTGTATACAGTGTCTTCAAGAACTTCCACCAAACTTCACATAGAAACAACAACAGCAAGAAGAAACTGAGCGTTTTGTGGGAGTGTTAGCAAGCGTTGTTAGCAAGCGTTCTAGGAAAGCGCAGGAATTTTTTTTTGTGCGCCTAGTTATTTCGGTATTTAAGACTAGTTAGCTAACTCCAATTATTTATTTAAGGGCAAATCCATGAACTGAAAAGTTGTAGAAACACACAAGAGACGCCCAAAGAAGGTATTTGTTACATGATACGCTTTTCGAGTATTTTTTTTTATTGGCCTAAAAAAACACCGCATAACATTTTTTAAAAGAGACCACGTGACAACGCGCCCGCTGTCGCCGCTTGTACGTTTCTTACGGTGCGTTTACACTTGCGGATTCCCGGGCGGACCCGCACGGGCGGAAAGTGGATGCAAGAGCCATGGTGGCCAAATCGACTCGTCGCTGGCGGAAAATATGGATCAGTCCGGGATCCATATCCAGATTTTAAGGCAGCGACGAATCGATTTGATCCCCCGGCTCCAAAATCCACTTTCCGCCTGCGCGGATCCGCACGCGAATCCGCAAGTGCAAACGCGCCATTAGACCCGTTCACCGACTTGTAACTTCTTACACGTGCTTCTTAGGACCGTGTGCCTTGAGAACTCTTAATATCTCTTACGGCGAGAGCGAAAGACCGGCGCCACCTATCGGGGAGACGTGGAACACTTGGCGGTCTCATATATTTTCTTTTTACTTTTTTTTGGTGGGGAGGGGGGCTCAAAAAAACTTATCTTAACGTTATAAACGACCATTTTTCACAAGTAGTATACGTACAATTTACCTCAAAAATATCAAAAACCTGCGCTCTAGTGAATACAGTTGTGGGGTAAACACATAGATGGCGCCAGCGTGGCAGTGTGCCTAAAGCCCCTCGATGTGTTTACGTGTCTTGCAAGTAGCGTCAAATGCGCGAGCGCACGAGGCCCATGTCTCGAGCGGCCCTTGGAAGCAAATGGCGGTGCAGCACTGAAATGAGCGGCCCTTGGCAGCGAATGGCGGCGGAGCACGCGCTCGCGGCACGTGTCTCGCGCGTTTCCACAACAATGGTTGGCGGTACTTGTAAAAAAGGCCTTTATCAAGGGGCTTTAAGTGTGCCCTCTCGCCGCATGCGATTTTAACCGGTTTTAAGGGAAGTCGCAGGTATGTGAGAGGCCTTTAGACGTGCTCAAGGGAGACCAAGTACACCTTATCACTGACGCGCTGTCTGAGACAGGACTTTGCGGCAGCAGGCACTCGCGCTTATCTTTGGTGCCTACACCGACACGAAGCCCCATCTCGAACATGCGCGCCAGGGATAAGATGCACTTCGTTCCTTCAGATCACGTCTGTAGGAGCTGGAAGCGCGACAAAATATTCTTAAATATTGTGCGAATTTTTATTTTAGGCTAATAAAAAGAAACGGGCCAAGAGTATCATGCGGCAAAGACCTTATTTGGGTGTTTTGCAATTAGATTTAGATCTTTCCCGTCCACGCC